AAACGCGAGTTGGCGACTTTGCTACAACGAAGAAAATTTCTTGGCATTTTAATCCGCCCCTCTCCGAATTCCGTGTTTCGAATTCGGTGGCATTAACCAATCAGACATTTACATTCGATACCGCTAGTACCGAGTATATCGTAAAATCGGTTTTTCGTAAAGATACGCGTCGGGAGCCTAGAGATGGTGCGCACTCTTACACCTTTTTACACTTAAAAGATACCAGTGCATCTTGCAGTAAACACAGCGATCGACAACTACGCGAGTACGTTTACGCGAGCATTACTTCTGTAATAACTTACAATAATTCACTCCTTTACGCGAAGTGAATTTATTATAAGTTACTACAGAACCCCGGTTACGTGGAAAAATTATCGCAAGTTACTAGAAAAGTAACGCTCGCGTAAACAATGTGTATTTATTTGTAAAAAAATATTTTTTAGCATGTGAGTAAAGAGAGTGAAGTGAATTAAAGTGAAGTAAAGAAAGTGAAGTTAGTGAGTAAGTTAAGAAGAGAGAACTAAAAGCACGTGCTTGCATGTGTGTGCGCGTATCGTTGTGGCTGTTACTACTACTATGTTTACGCGAGCGTTACTTCTGTAGTAACTTACGATAATTCACTCGTTTACGCGGAGTAAATTATCGTAAGTTACTACAAAATTCCGTTTACGCGAAAAAAAATCTTGTTTGCGCGAAGGAATTATCGTAAGTTACTACAAGAAGTAACGTTCGCGTAAACATTGTATGTGTTTTACAATGTTATTGCCAGTTCTGAAAATCTACGGTGTGCGTAACATAAACTATAGATTTTTTGTGCTGGCAATAAATATTGGTACGCAATTTGTGTGCATCGATCGGCTGATCGCAACAAGCACCCGACGTAAACGCCCGCGTCTAACGATGAGTTGCGCCGCTCCTGCCTACCTCCTGTACTCGGTCCGTAATAGGGTAACAATTTTTGTTAATATCTCGGAAAGTAAGCGTTGGACACAATTTTGCAAGAGGAAAAGTTTTCTTAGAATTGTGTCAAAAATCTGTAGTTTGAAGGATAAAAGGTTGTTTCGAATCACCCTGTATATAAAAAACAAAATTTCCGTACTTACATATGACATCTGTTCGGAATTCATTGTTCTGACTCACGACCGGCCAATGACATGGAGCCGACCAATCAGAGGTCGACCCGACCGGCTACGCTCGACGGGTCGAGATATTGATCATCGCGGAAGATCGCACGCGCATCTGGTCTCTCGCGCGATCGTTTCCGGAACGTGGTGTTCGATTCCCTGTGCAAGACGGACGTACTTCGGTATCTAGCTTGCGGAGAGACTTGCGACCAAGTTCAGAAACAGTGAAATTGCGGTGACATTCATTTGGTGCGTCTCGGGAACAACTCCCTTTCGAACTATGGATGATTGGCTCAAGACTTCGGGCATTGAGATACAGATTGCGGCCCCGCCCGACTCACGGCCGTGCGCCGGCAGGTTAGTTTCGCGCTCGCGTGACCGGCACTACGAATTGTGCGTCCCGCCCGGGAGTGCTCGCCGCCTGTTCTCACCAGGCACCAGACAAAATGCGCCGAGTCAAAACATTTTTTGGTCTTTTGAGCCGGATCTGGCGGGAGCAGTGCGGCTTTCGGAATCGAACGGCCGTCGGCCTCATCGAACATTCTCGCCGTTATCTCGCGGCGCGCGGCGTGACTCTCTCTCTCTCTCTCTCTCTCTCTCTCTCTCTCTCTCTCTCTCTCGCGGTTCGGTATCGTTCGCCCGACCGGATAATCTCGGGCATAGTCCCGGGAGATCGTGCGGTGGTCTCAATCTCCTTATCGCCCCTCAAACGGCGACAGCGTGCTCGACACGCGCAAGATGCGCGATCGTGCGAAACCGCGCTCGCGAGTGCAACCCCCTCCGCCTCGTGATATCCACCGTCGCGACACGTGCTCGGACGCTCAGACGTTCTTGATATTTCGGGCGGCCTGCCCCTCTCGTTGTTACACTTGACTCGGAAGGCCTCGCGCGTCTCGGCTCGTGGATCACGGTCAATTCGCGCGCTCTCGCTCCGCCCTCCGCGCGCTTGCTCACTCGCCGCTCACGACGATCGGCTCTCTCGAAAGTGACCTCCCGGCCTTGGCCACGCGCGTGGCCTTAATCGACGGTACCGCATCTCCGACTAGCCGATTGGCTACATTGGGAGTACTCTCACGCGGCATCTTCTCTGACACGAACCATGCCCGTCGCGGCTAAGATCTCGTTACAAATAAACCATTTCACATATATCAAGTCGGTGGCGCTCGAGGCCAAGGAGTCGGGGTTTTTCTCGCTCCCCCTCGCCTCATTGAAAGTGAAGCTATCTCTGATCGACAATTACTGGGAGAAATTCGATCAGGAACACGAGCGACTCTCGGATCTGAAGGTGGACTCATTGCTCGAGCTCGACTATTTCCGGGACGGTGTATATGACCAATATTACGCCGAGGTTAAGGCTACACTCGCCTATCTCATTGAGGAGAAGGATCGATCGAGCTCCTTTTTGGGATCCAAATTAACTAATCTCTCTCTCCCCGGACCATCAACGGCACGCAGCCATCTCCCGGAAATCTCTCTTCCACAATTCGACGGAGACTTCTCGGCGTGGAGACCCTTCCACGATCTCTTCTCATCTTTGGTCGGCAGAGTCCATGACATATCTAATGTCGAGAAAATGCACTATCTCCGGACCAGCCTCACTGGGGAGGCTGCTCAGCTCATCTCTAATCTGCCCGTCGCGGAGGACTCATTCGCAGCAGCCTGGGACTTGCTCGTCGAGCGATTCGAGAATAAGCGGCTCTTGATCTCATCGCAGGTAGAGCGGCTGTTCGCCATCAAAGCCATGGCTGCTCGATCGGCACGTGAACTTAACGCTGTTCTTAACACCACCACGGAGGCCCTCAATGCCCTGTAGACACTGGGCGCGCCGGTTCGACACTGGGATCATCTCCTGGTACACCTCATCGTGCACCGGCTCGACCCACATACCCGAGAAGCTTGGGAGGTCAAGCTTGGCTCCTCTACGGAAATCCCTCGTATCGGGACCTCAAAACGTTCCTCACCGGCCGGGCTCGTGCTCTGGAGAGCATGGAACTGGGAACCTCTCCCACAACGCCTAAGGTTCGAATCCGGACGGCCCCGTCCCTCGCTCATGTTGCCACCTCACCACCCGCCGGGACTGAATCATCCGGATGCTCGCTGTGCGCTGGGACGCACTATATCGTCACATGTCCCAAGTTTCGAGACATGACGCCTCATGCTCAGCGGAATCTGGTCATCGATGAGAAGCCTTCACTGGCGCACAGTACAATTGCGCACGTTGCAATTGCACACAGTACTATTGGACACTTAAAGTCACGTACCGTACAATCGCGCACAGTTCGTTTGGACACATTTCATTGGCGCACAGTACAATTGAACACCGTTGCTTTTGGACACAACACATATTATTAATTTATTTAAATAAATAAATGTATGTTGCATTGGTTTTTGCGCACCGTACAATCGCGCACCGTACAATCGCGCACCGTTCAATCGCGCACCGTATGTACAATCGCGCACCGTTCAATCGCGCACCGTATATACAATTGCGCACCGTACAATTGCGTACCGTACAATCGCGCACCGTACAATCGCGCACCGTACAATCGCGCACCGTATGTACAATCGCGCACCGTACAGTTGCGCACCGTACAATCGCGCACTTTATGTTGTAAAGCGAGTTCCACGCTTTCAACCACAGGGGGGTGTGAGGGGGGCTCCAACTTAAGTTGAAAAGCGCGTCATGAACCCATGTGGCACCTCGTTTCGCGTGGACACACACACACACACA